ATCATGGTCACAGAAATAAAACCCAAGCTATACTTGCCTTAAATTAGATCCTTCTTCAAGTCCCAAATCTCTGTAGAATCACTTCTTGATCTCCAACTTCCTTTAAATCACCAACGCGAAAAGCTCACCGACTGGACGATCATAACGCGCCACCCAAGCATCGAACAGACATGCTTAGCAAGCATGGTAGATCAGAACAATACACCAATCAGTGGGAAATGTTTGAAAATAAAGAAAAGAAAATATATACTTTACTTATTTTATTTACAAAACCATGGCAAGGATATATATTATATACAAAAAGGAATATACATATCGATGAGCTCTCAAGACAAAATATACTCGATGAATTGATATAGAGCAAAAATAACATGCATTGATCTAGAAGAGACCGAGTAGAATTTTGAATAAAGGAATAACTGATACATGATAAATATAGATGAAGCATGTAGACATATAGAGGTTTCACTAGGTTGCTAATTACAAAGATGGAAAACAAGGTCGTGTGCCTCATCAGCAAAACAGAAAATTCTAGCAGTTCCATGGAAGCTAAAATGTTGCACACGTACGCATCATGGAGAGATGCATTAACAGAATTACATAGATTTGTTTTTCTCAAGGAAAACAGCAAGAAAACAAGGGTGATGTCATGCTGATGTGGTCATGATGTCATCAAGCTAGCAAGGCAAGGTGCACGGTAGAGCACATGATCGACGATGGAGCTTTGCAGGTCAAAGCAACATGCATGCCTAGGATCGATGTCGTCAACTGATCAGCAAGCTAGGAATCGAAGCAGAGCAAGGCACGTTGCACGGGTGTACTTCAGTGAGACTTACCAAAGGCTGACAGAAACGTCGGCGATGGCCAGTGCAGTCTGCACGGAAGAGAAGCAGACGTCGGTGGACAACGTGAAGAAGGCAGCAGATCCTCAACTCCAGGTCCACAGGCGACGGACGCAACTTGCAGATCAAAGGCGAAGGTCACACGATGGGCACGGGCATCCGTTTTCTCGACGTTGAGCTCGACGGCGGTCGGGCGTTGGCTCCTGTTAAGGTTCGGCGGTGTGGCGAGTGATGAATGCAGAGCAAGATAGACACTACGTCAAAACGGAATAACAGCAGCGTCGCATTTTGGAGTCGGCAGCGGACGTTCACATAGCCCGCTGCGGTAAATCGTAAACAATTTATATTTACCCTAGCGGATCTTTTTGCCCGCTGCAGTAAATAGCGGACATCTTAAGGCGTTCGCTGCGGTAAATATAATTTTTTTGATGAATTTATACGACTTTTTTACCATGGTTTGCACGGGTTGTCATGAAAGTTTAGTTTACACAGGATATGTTCACAATATAAATAGGGGTATTTACCGCAGCGGACGCCTTAAGATGTTCGCTGTGGTGCGGTAAATTTATTTACCGCAGCGGGCGTCCAATAAGGCCCGCTACGGTTAAGGCCGAGGCCCATCTAACACAGGCCGAGCCCCAATCCGGTCGGCGCTATCGGGCTTGTATATATATGCTCACTTAGGAGCAGTCGGCCTTTGTACCGGGACGGCTGATAACTGACAACATAATTACAGCTTATGAGTGCATGCACTTTATGAAGAAGAAGAGAGCGAGAGATAATAGATTCTGTGCTCTAAAGCTGGATATGAGGAAAGCTTATGACCGAGTGGAATGGGAATATTTGAGGGTTATCATGATTCGTTTGGGTTTCCACAGGTTATGGGTGGAGATGATTATGAGACTAGTGCAAACTGTATCTTTCTCAGTCTTGTTTAATGGTAATCGACTTGATACCTTTGTTCCTTCAAGGGGAATCCGTCAGGGAGACCCAATCTCACCCCTTTTGTTTTTGTTAGCAGCAGAGGGCCTTTCGTGTCTTTTAAAATCAAGAATTCAGTCATCGAGCTTAAGTGGAATCAAAGTGGCGGCATCTTCACCGATGGTCAGTCACCTTCTTTTTGCAAATGACAGCCTGTTGTTTTTCAAAGCTAATAGGGAGAGTGCAGAGGTAGTAAAGGAGGCGGTGAACATGTACTGTCAGGCAACAGGGCAGAGAATTAATACAGACAAATCTTCCATCCATTTTGCAAAAGGTGTTAGTGTAAATGTCAGGGAAGAGGTAATGGCAGTCCTAGAAGTGCACAATGAAGAGCTTAGTGAAAAATACTTGGGAATGCCTACAGATGTTGGTACCTCATCCAATGGAGCCTTTAAATATCTTAAAGATCGAGTGTGGAATAAGGTCCAGGGATGGATGGAACAATCTCTATCAGCAGGCGGGAAAGAAGTTCTCATCAAAGTTGTGGCTCAAGCAGTGCCAACTTTCTTAATGTCTTGTTTTAGGCTACCGCGTGGCCTATGTCAACATATTGATAGTCTGCTGAGGGGTTTCTGGTGGGGGAGTAAAGAAGGAAAAAGAAAGACATGCTGGGTGGAATGGGATGATATGACAAAACCCAAGTATATGGGAGGTTTGGGCTTCCGAGATATTGAATTATTCAATCTTGCCTTGTTAGCAAGGCAGGCGTGACAACTTTTGCAAGAACCTCAGGCCCTCAGTGCGAGAATTCTAAAGGCAGCATATTTCCCAAAGACAGATTTCTTGGCGGCGGAGTTGGGGCCCTCTCCGTCGCGGGTTTGGAGAGCTGTTCTTGATGGGAAAGAAGTTTTAAAGCAAGGTTTGATTAGGCGAATTGGGACAGGGGAGGATACAGATATTTGGCGCATGAATTGGATCCCAAGAGATGGAATGATGAGACCAGTCAGTGGCCTCAGCAATACGCCGCCGGCAACGGTAGATGAGCTGATAAACCCAGTGCTTATGTCATGGGATCTGGAAGCTGTGAAACAGCATTTTCTACCGATGGACTGGGAGCTCATGACGACTAGAAGACAACAAGATTTCTGGGCCTGGCACTATGAAAAATCAGGGGTGTTCTCTGTGAGATTAGCTTACCGGATACTTGTTGAAACCCGGGAGCGAAGGACGGATTGGATTGAACACAATGCGGGCAGATCAGATGTCAAAGCGGATCAGAAGGAATGGACGGAACTGTGGAGCATCAAAGTTCCTTCAAAGGTACGTGTCTTTCTCTGGAGACTTGCGAGGCAGTCTATTCCAACCGGAGATGTTAGACTTTGCAGGAATATGACGACGCACTATAACTGCACCATCTGTGGAAGGCCAGACTCGTGGCGGCACTCTTTGCTCGAGTGTAACATGGCGAAGTGTGTTTGGGCCCTACAGGGCGAGGAAATTATGGACTTCATGGCATAGGCCTCGTATGGAGATGCCAGGAAATGGTTACATGAAGCTATTAAAACACTGAGGCATGAAGATCTTGTGCGCTTGGTGGTGACACTGTGGGCGATCTGGTACACTAGGCGGAGGGTGATTCATGAAGACATCTTCCAGAGCCCCCTCTCGACTCACCATTTTGTTGAGAATTTCCTGAATGATCTAACATTGGAGAAGCCGAAAGGGGTGAGCAATAGGGAGGTCCAGCCTCCGGCTGCGAAGTGGATTCCGTCTCCACAAGGTATGATGAAGATTAACGTGGACGCGACACTCTCAAAGAACTCAAACATAGCAGCAGTAGCGGCTGTGGCAAGAGATGAATGAGGCATTTTCCAAGGAGCTTCTGCTCTCACCATGGAGGGTATCTCATCACCTGAAGTGGCAGAAGCAATCGCGTGCAGGGAAGGCCTGGCGCTAGCGCGCGATCTTGGGATGCTGAATATAACGATTGCATCTGACTGTGCAAATGTGGTTAAAAGCTTACAGGGTCCGGGCATGAGCTCATATGGCCACATTGTCAGGGAGATCAAGATGGAGATGGCGAGCTTCACCAAGGCGAACTTTGTTCATGAGGGCAGGAATTCTAATGGCGATGCTCATAATGTCGCGAGAAGCTCGATTTATGGTGCTGTAGGACGAAATGTATGGTTTTTAGATCCTCCAATTGGAGTTTGTACCAATTACCATGATATATGAATAAAGATGGTGCATCCCCTCAAAAAAA